CAATAATAATTAGTCCTAGCTACTCCTCTTTACACCATTTACCTTTTTTTCTGTCTGTTTATTTATTTTGCATATATTTGTCTAATTGTATATTGTCACCAAGAAAAGTATCTTATAGCCTAAAGAAATCCCTTTAGGGAATGGAAGCGAGACGGTATGTCTCCTCATTCTGAAATCCGAATCTTTACACGATTACCTTTCTCAGTACTAATTACAGAATCTCAAGTTGAAAAGGACTTTCTTCTGCCAGATTAACTGACTAGTCTCAGATATTACCAAAGGAGGAGGGCCGAAGGATGTCTTGCTCAGCCTAGAGCTGCATCGAGTGAAGTGAACCGCTCTGTACACCAAAGGGGTTCATTCCTTAGAAGTTTGGGTTGGTCAGTGAGCAAAACACTTGCACCTGACTAAAGAAGTGTTCTTTTGCTTAATGTTTACTGCAACACAAAAGTCAATTTGCATCTCAAGTCAGTCATTGAATCAGCAGATGCTCCTATCCAAACGGCAGATATTTATCCCCTGAAGTGAATAAGTGTAGGACAAAAACCGGAAGTTTTAAACCTTGCTGTCACTTGTTAATGGATGGCATGTAACACTCAACTGCCTGGCAGCTTCTAAGAATTGTCACTTGCAGTTGGTGTGGGTGTGAGTGGTTTGCCTCATTCCCCTCGCCAAATGGTTCGTCACACATTACCCTCCAACTACTTTATCCTAGCTACTCTTCATTATTATCGCGAATGGAGAGTCGATACGTTGTTATGCTACTGCCGTCATTCAAGAAACATATTCACACTCTTGCATGCATCTTACAGATGCCTACAGGGGGCAAGAAATCAGTCATGTGAGCCATACCGCAATCTGCACATACTTTTCAGTCACTAGATAGCTGGAGCTTCAGTAAGGCCGATTTCTAGACCCCACATCATAACAAACACAAAGGCATCGAGCATTTACCCCATAGAAAAGTAATTTTAACGTCGCCTTCTTTACTAGCATCAGGGCTCTGACACACGACCCAGTTGCGTCCGTGTCAGTAGGGGTAACACTGAAGGTACTCATGGAATGTTTCCTACCTACTTTGCACAGGCTTCAAAAATTCCCTTCTAAGACCCTCTACAAGAGCACCCACAGAGTGGCGAAGTTTTGCATGCAAGACGTCCTTTCTAGGCGGATATGGAAGCTATGTTCTTTACAAAAAAATAACCTGCAAAGATAATTTTGTCATGCAAAAGTCCCACTTTTTTGAAGCGCAAAAGTAGAGTAAGTAGTGAGCTTTGCATTTTTTGCAACCACATGTCTATATCTTGCTTAGGCGTGAAGTTTGTCTGATAACGTTATTTAAGCGTTTTACTACATTACCGAGGTGTCGATGATTCACTCATTTCACTACCCAGTCAACAGGATCCACTATAAATTACCACCTGGAAAGAAATGACACAAATGACTCATTTCCCTCTTCGGCTTTTAACTCTAAATCTTCACTTTTGCCATTTTACATTAATTTTGACCACGAATTTATCTTTCATAGTCAAAAAAACAGTCTTTTGCCTCAATCTGTATTTGACATTTGCTGTCATGGAGAGAGCCGAGGTGAACTCGAGAGTACATATTGCCAGATTGACAACCCTTAGTGCCTGGCGAATTGTCAAAAGGGGTCTTTTATGCTAAACTAAAAAATTTAAGTTCAAAAACAGTGAGGTTATATAGAAATCGACTTTTTAGGTCAATTCGTTTTTAGATGTGAAATTCTACCAATAAAAGCAAATCTTAAGATATTATTAGCCATAATAAGCAATGACCTATCAAGAGAAAATACAGTAAATTAATATCCTTTTGTGCACCCCGAAAAATACGCCTTATTATACCAAAAGTAGGGGCAACAACTTTCATGACCATTACTTGATAGCCAATCAGAAATTCAGGAGGGCGACCAATCAGAGAGCATGAACTCTTATCTTTGAAATTCGAGCCATCAAGAGGGTCAAATGTGTAAATCGGAGAGTTGGGTTGCGTGACTCACGAAATCTGGACGACCGTAGCAATAGCTTTATGCACTATATTGTCAATTTGGCGGCCGCTCCCTTTGATATGGCCAAGGTGCAAAGTGAATCATCCTATCCTCTGTTAAGAAATTTCCCCAGATTTGAAAGCTTCTCCCAAATCAGCTCAACTGTTGCCAACTCCTCAAGAAATCAGCTGCACTCGGACTCCATGGATTTTGACCTCTTCAAGAGGTACACCCCTCTTTTATGTGATTTGATGATCGTCGGTGAAGGAACTACTCATCATTAATTTGACCTTGAATTCAGCTATGAAATGGATAATTGAACCCTTTTGCAATATTTTAGACCACTTCATGGATTTCAACTGAGTATGTCTGACTTGAAGGATGCAACGTCGGCCTCGAAGAAAGCGGCTGGGTGTTTATTTACAAATTTTGAAGATGTTAGGGTGAGTACACATTTTGAGACAATTACTTAGTGTTATTCATCATTTTTGCTGATTTTTTTCCCAAAAAGTCCTCTATTTTGGTGTGCACTATTGTTTCCGAAGTCAGGAATGCCAGCGATGTATTATAAGGATAAGCAATTTGGTCATCGTGAGTCTTAAGAGGGCTCCTTAGATCGCAGGACTAGAGATCCTATCGATGATTGGCTAGTGAAATTACTGACAGACATCACTGAAAGGGACTGACCTTGGTGCCTAAGACACCAAAAATACTTTTTACTTGCCTAAAAATGAGCAGAGTGGAGATTTTGATTAAGTATTTGAATACTTGTACCTTATATCCAAACACCATTCATTTGTTGTCTCGCAATGTTGGATATTAAGGTTTACAACATTGAGATTTTTTTCTCAATCTATCTAGGCGTTTAATAAAATTAAAATGTTAATTTGACTTTTATAAACTAATACAATTAATGGTTAGAACCTCTATAAAGAACAAGAAGATCGGAGACCTGGGGTCAGTTAATAATGCCTATTTTGGTAAAGCAAAGGTGTCAGGCAAGTTCACCTTCGAGAAGGCCAGCAACAAGTGTCAGAATGGCCAACAGTTTCCGTGATATACATGCTCTTTGAGCAGACAAAAATACATTACTGAAAGAGGATTCACACTTGTAAATGACTGTATGCTTCCGAGTTGTAAAATGAAATCTGTCCTTTCGCAGTTTTTTACAACTGAATTTTTCTTGTCGTGACTAGATTTATTAGCGTCAAGTGATCATAATACTGCAAAAGCATGCTTTAAATGTGCGCCTTTTTTCCTCTCCGCATCTCAGCGGGTCACTCACCGAGAACCGCATTCGGTGGACACTCGGCGAATTAATCATTCAGGAGGCGAAGGCAGTCCTAGTCGTAGAGGCGTGTGTTTAGCAAAAGTATAATTTCAATTTATCTGCTGAAATAATCGGGTTACAGAAAGAGAGGGAGGAGCAGTGCCATGATGGCGGTGATTTCATGGCGTGTAAATGCCACGCGAAGCACACAATATGCGGCAAATCCGGTTCTTCCCTAATTCTTTCAATTCACCCGTGGTGAAGTACCCTGCTGCCTGGGCAAATTTAAAATGAGCTCACGAAAGCTGGCAGTAAATTAAAAGTCTTCACACTCGTCAATCAATGAGGCTCACGAAAGGAAAGGTTTGGATACATTTGAAAGATAAATGGTTTTACTTTTGGATGTACATTTTAATACGCCCAATAAATGAAAAATTGAACTGAGCTAACCGCTTTTTTTAAGAAATACATAATTCCTGTAGTTTCTTTCGCAACAATTCGCCCAGCGTTGAAGGAGGTGTATCCATTGTAGTCAAGACACCTCACTTCAATTGTTTTAATATGGACTCAGAGGATAATAGATGCCTCCTTTAAAACCCAAATAAATTCATTTATTTGACTGTGACAGGCTCATATGGAATGTGACTTTAAATTATTCCTAATCAACTTTTAGCGTTTGGATATAAGCTATTCAAAAAGCCCCACTTTTGTTTGTAGTTAACGGATGAAGAACGGGTCTACCTAAATGCGGCTTCAATAGGTGATGTGGGAGTTATTCGCATGTCACTCGAGGACGCCGACTCGTCCCCCAATTTCAATGTCAACTGTGTCGACTACATGGGACGAAACGCTCTTCACCTCGCCGTTGATTCGGAGAACATTGAGGCCATTGAAATGCTCCTCGATAAGCTCTCCTTCGAGTGCATTGAAGAGGCTCTGCTACATGGAATCTCAAAGGGTCTGGTGAAAATTGTTCGTGTGATCATCGAGCATCCCAACTATATGGCCTGTGAGGAGAGATTAAAGCGAGTTGATTCCAAAAACTCCTTCTTTCGTACCACCGAAAAGAGCCAATTTTCACCTGATATTACGCCGCTAATCCTCTCCGCACACTACAACAATCATGAGATGGTACAAATGTTTCTGTCTCGTTCACACACTATTGAGAAACCGCATCCCATCTCATGCCAATGCACAGATTGCCAATTGAAGCAGGACTACGACTCCCTGAAACGGTCGCGGTCTCGACTTAACGCCTATCGAGCCCTAGCCAGTCCCGCCTACATGGCACTCAGTTCCCCTGATCCCATCATGGCAACATTTGAACTGCGTCAAGAAATGATGAAATTGGCGGAGATAGAGAAGGAATTCAAGGTTCGACCATTGTTAAAGTTGTTAGGGGGAAAAATCGCCCCATAAAACTGTGAAATGATTTTGCAATCAGAAAGTGGGAATGTTTCTTGTCTCTGCAAATGACAGGCCTTTGTTTAAACATTCCTCGAGTGATTGCAGAGGCAGTATTGCCGCGAGGAGTAACTTGGGAAACCTTAGACATGACGAGTGCCTGCTAGCATCCCCCATAGCGATACCTCTGTTGTGGGCCGGAGTGGGCGAATCGAGGATTTTGACTGCAAGCTGGAAAAACTTCAGATATGTATTTTTTAAAAAGACGAATAAATTATAATAACTTCAGAAGTAAATGTGAGATGGTTGCGATAGAGCCACACACTATAATCTGTTATCTTAGTCACCAGCCTTCTCTGTAGCTGGAACCCTCCTACTTTTCAGGTTCTGTTGATACACGTCCTGACTTACGGCAATGCTAAAAATGACCTCATTCTAAAAGCTCTTCTTCTTAAAAGAACGATTTTAGAGTAAATAAGGCCTTAACCCCGGTTGTTGTCAACTTTTCACGTCTTAGGCTGTCAACTAAAGCAATGACCTGTCGCAATCGACAGCCCCATGGCAACTCAAGCATGTTGAGAGTAGAGCTGACGGAAGGCTCACATCGGAGGTAATCATAAAAATTGACGCAATAATAGAGCAAGATTCAATTATTCTCGCAGCAGTGATGGTGGGAGGGAAGGTCCGCTCATTCAAATTGATCACAGGGTTCAAGCACTCATTTGTGTGGAACCCCCTTTAGCCTATAATAGGTCTAGAGAAGCCTACCTCCTTTTTGTCATTCACGATCAGGTTGTATGGTATACCCTCTGGTAAAATAGATCCATACCTTATAAAGCAGCCTACCTTTTTGCTATCTTTCGGGAACAGGGGGTGAGAAATGGGTGCAAAGCCTGAGAGTCGGTAATCATCTATCCAAGCAAAGTAAAACAGACCATAATATTCTTTAAAATTTAAGAAGTTTGTATAAAAAGTGTTTTATTCAACGCACAGCATGCTTAGCAAATAGGGCAACAGGTAAAGCTGTTTGGGGGAAACTTCTGTACCCAAAATCAGTCCTCTGATTCCCCCGTTTTTATCAAACGAAATCAGTGGCTTTTTCCCCTTTACAAGAATGAGCCCATTTTACATTTTTAACAATCGTCCCAAAATTAATCTTTACTCCTTAAAATGACTGCTTACTCTTGGATGATTTTCTTTGCAAAATCTTTTGCATCTCATATCTAATCAAGCGGTGCTAAATCAACGTCTTTGATTGAAACAGCGGTGGTAAGGCTGAATTTAAAAAAGGTCGTTTCATACGTCTCCCCTTAAGTTCATAGATGGTATCGTTTAGGAGAAAAACCGCTCCCATATCTCCAATTCATTTTCTGCTAGCAAGAGAAAAGCAGGGTATTAATGTTTAGGAACGGGTAAGACTGCCTGAAGACAATAATTACTACAATTATTTATTCTTCTAATTTTGCAATTTAGTGCTCATGCTGCAGCAATGCTATTCGTGACGTTGCTGGTTTGAAAGATGCCTCAATTCGATGTCCCTCTCCCCTCTGCCTGAACCGCTGACCCATCACTTGCCACGTCTTGCTTTTAGAGGGAGTACCTGACCCTGGTTGAACAATGCATGAATTTCGCCTGTGAAATGATGGATTTGTGTCGTGGAACCCAGGAGGTCGAAGCTGTCATTTCGGACTTTCTCGAGGATGGCGCTAATGTTCGCGATCCCCTTGGCAGACTGCGATTGGCCATTCGATTTGAGGAGAAAAAGGTGAAATATTGCCTCTCACTGATATCTTCTCATATGACTTATTTTTTGGTGGATTTCTGAGGTTTTATCTCCTACACAAACAACCACACTCTGCATGCATTCAATCGGAGAAGGGGGGGTGAATAAACACATTTGATTTATGAGCTATAAGAAAAAATCATGTATTTTTGCCCATATTCTCAGGAAGATTTCATCAGTACTTTTGGAGCTTTAAAAGTAACAAACTTCTTATTGTTGTTTAAAACTTCAGGAAGCTGTAATAAATGCAAGTAAGGTCCTTTTTTCTACTGCAATCGGTAATGCTCACGCTCACCGAATTGAAGGGGTCTCTACGTTGAGCCTTGTCAAAGCAGTTGCCCCCTTCACCCCGGCAAAAGTGAAGTCGCTAGGGGGTAGCTATTCACCGCATCTACGTAGATGCAATCAAAGCATTATCTAGCAATTGGACGTACGCCACCAGCATAATAGCCTATACGGAAGTTGGAGCGTAAAATCGGTACATTTCCACATTTCCTGTATGCTTTATCCACCTCATATTATTGAATCTTAAAAGAAAGGTAAATGAATAATTTTAAATGAGAGGCTGATGTACCAAAGGGCACAAAAAATGCACAGATGTGAGCGCATCTGACAACCAAAGAATGAGTGAAAGTGCGGTGAAAAAGAGTGGATGATGTGCATCTACCCGCGTCTTTGAAGAAGGTGATTTGCAAACTCAACTAAAGGTACAAATGAAACAAGGGCAGTTACAGGGAAAAGTGGCAAAGTTCTCTCCCCTAAATCACACCGAGAGGTTATCAACTGTCTGGAGGGACTTAGTGACAGTCGGAGTCTTTTTTTTTACGGCAGGAACGAGATGATGATGAATTATTAGCTCTATATGGAAGTGAGTAACGCTGAAAAATCCTTTTTTTTACAAAGTACCTTAGGTGAGTTAAGTAACGCTGGCAATTTAACATGATTTCTGTGATTAGTATGCAGCCTGGGTTGAGGAGACCAAAAGATGTAAGACCTTTGAAAATTTGCCTTAATTTGGGGTAAAATTGATTACACCTAAAGGCTTGCCTTCCTAAAAGGCGAAAAATGAATTTTTGGATAGACGAAAGTGACGCAGACAGAACGTCGCGTCCTGATTTGGGTCTCCGGATTTTAGACCACACGCTAAACATTGGCAATTTTTCCGACCAAATAGGGCCGTGCGGTTTTTAACGATGAAAGCAAACTTTGTGTATTGGAATAGCTGTCAGCTTACCCCGTGCTCCTAATCCACCCATACGCCTACTCACCACTGTTTTTCACATTTGACCAGAAGTGGACATGAAGGGGTGGGTACCTCGGTGTTGTGAGATAGTGACCAGATGGTTTGAAAATCATCCAGTCGTGTGTTCATTTCGGTCAACAAACGTCGGACTACTAGAACACAAAAGCCACTTTTCATTACAAATCAGTCGATCCGTGAACCAGCAATTCCATTCGATCAGCACACTTTCAATGGATAGCTCCTGGAAGCACCTTCCATGGCTTCCTCTGTGAATGTAGGCCTAGACATCACTCAAATTGCTTACTTATCATCAATGGATATGTATGTGAACGCTGATACTATTAAGATCCCAGCTAGAATAGTCATTGCTGACAGTGAGGGTACACTAAGGGTACGGCTTGTGCATGCATCATTGCTGGCTGGACTGCTAGATTTCTTAACTAGACGCCATTCTCACTTATTTGTATCTTCCTTGAATGACCTTGACCTTAAGGTGGTCAGTAGTACAAAGTGGTTGTGTCTGCCTAATACTGGCTAATGGGAAGCACCGATCGGGGAATATTTAAGAATGTCTAGGAACTCAATTTTCGGACGCATAAATTTTTTTTTGCAATGCATCCATCTTTGGGTGCTACGCAAGAGGCTTCTTCGATGGGCAGCAAATTTAAGCCCTCTCCACTTTCCGAATGGTAGTCCGTCTTCCAAAGTAAATAATCTTCCCCAAAGGTATCGCGGAAAAGCAAGGTAATGCATTTTCTTGCTTCTTCATATAATCCACTAAGCAGTAGGTCTCCATCTACCCACATAAATTGTGTCTTTGCCTGAAGACATAAATAAACCAGATCGGTGATGTCCATATGTCCACCTACACTCATGGGAGCTTTACATGCTATGCATTAAGTTAATCCCACTTAAAACGGCCTCCCGCATCCCCCTTTCTGGAGACGGAAAAACTAGCATAGAAGCTTAATTTCCTAGTGGTAATTTCTCCTTGTCTTGTGAGAGAGCTTCCTGCACCTGAAAAGAAGCACAAGCAGTTACTGCCAACTGTATTCGACGTTTCCTCATCTATGACAGTCCTCACGATTTTAAATCTCCTTCCAATTCTTCATAAGACTACATTTTTGTTCTTCTTTGTTTCTTAATGTCTATGTGGACCTAAAAATCTCTTGACATGCCTTGTAGTTTGTTGCTCATCCAAACTGTCAACAGTACCTCACAAGTATCTGGTACGGTTCAGAGACGGCGTTTCTTCAGTCCTGGACACTGATGCGTAAAATTGGACTGTCAATTCTTGCGATGCCTCTACTTCCACTGATCTGTGTCCTCTACATTGTTTTACCTTCAGCTGAAGTACGTCAAAATCCTTGTTTCGCATGAGTAGACATTCAACTTTGTGCACTGCTAAGATAAAAACAAAATAAAACTTTGGATTATAATTTCACTACAGTACTATCTAATATAGAATGGCGAGATTTGATTTGCTCTATCCTTGCTCACTTAACTTCACCTTCAGATGTGGCATTTTTTTCGGTAGGACTCGTGTACCCCACGACCAACCAGAATTGGATCAGTGAGTTCAATTATCCCGCAACGGGTTCTTTTCTCTAAAAAATTTATATTTTATCAAAATTCGACTTATTTTGTTATTCTTTTAAATTACTACGAAGAAGTACATCTTGATTTGGCATTTACGCACCACTCCCCACTCTCTATAAGTGCCGTACTGGCATATTGCTATTGGAGGTCTCATGTCCATATCATACAGCTGTTTCCCATCACATGGACACATTTAGTGCCTGTTTTGGATGATGGACTGTTTGGCCAAACTCACCACTTGATGTGTCACCGTGGCCGAAGCTGGCTAAAATATAGCGGATATTCCGCGGATGGGCGTGTGAAGACTGCTTGACTAATTAGACTGTTAGGCAGTGTCAAATAGGCTTGACAGTTCTCATAATTCAGGCGCGTTTATTGTGCACGCTTTAATCCACCTAAGTATACTGCGTAACGATTAGTTTTAGCCCGATAACCCTATAATTACGGCATATAAAATACACAATTTTCAGTCAGCGCTAAACAAGACAACGCCAAAGAAGTGAAGAGTATTCGCTTTTCCTCCCGAGTTAAACTATTAATTCCTCTTCACCCATTGGGAATTCATTTTTTTCTTCTAACCTTAAGAATGATCAATTTCCGAAGCGCAAATTAAAAGCAGTTTTTCACGCATTGTCAACAAAGACTATACTGCAAGTGGGGAAGGAAAAGATTGTCCCCTAAGAGTAATGCCTAAGTGATCTCGGATAGACCGCTTTAAAAATAGGGCTTCTGTAAACAAATACTTTATGTTTTTTTTTCCAGTAAATCCCAAGTTTAATGCTCGGATCGCATTTAAAACTGTACCTTAAATGCAAAACCACATCTTATATACTACTTACATTAAATGAGTTACCATACCAATGTGTGGCCGCGCCACCGAGTATGGTCATAATCATTGACTCGACTGCACAGTTCTACCAATGAGAAAGGCTTGACAAAAGCTTGCTGATGTGGAATTCTATTTATTTCAAAAAAAGGGAGAAAAGGTCAGTTTTAAAATTGACAAAGAAAGTGTTAATAAAACGGAATTGGGAGAGAGCATGCAATTGTTGTGCGTGTGAAACGATGCAGTCGGGAAATGAGTGAATAAAAACGAAAACTTGAGAGCAAAAACCATTTTATACGTTTTGAAGAAGGGGGGAGTGTGCGTCTACTCGGTAACCTTTGCGAGAGGCTTGATCATTCCCTTTTCCTGCAGACCCTCTAGCTTGTGTGGCCTCGCCTTAACAATGCCCTCTGTATGAGGGTCGCCCTATTAATTTTTGCTTTCTTTTAATCCAAGTCAAGATTTGAAGCTCTAAAAAGCGAAAATTCTACTGCGCTCATCAAACGGAATGTCAAGCTGCTAATGTTCATTGTGGGTAAAATGAGGTTCATCAAAGTGATAAAATGTTCTAATTTTATGCCAAAAGGAAGCAGTTTGCTTCTATGTGTAATTCGCTAATCGTACTTTTGACAAATTAGATTCCTTTGCTGTAAACGCAAGGATTTATTTGGTATTTTCTTGAGGAAATATGAGACTTCTTATGTTAAACGTGCGTTACTGGAATAAAACTTCTTTATCATCATGATTTCTGCTGGGATGGGAAACACAAGCATAAAACGAGTATCGTGTGCCTACACTTTTATGCCTTTGACTTATTCGGATCTCGGTGTCTTTCCTCCTCTTGCAGCTAACTCGAGCGATGCGATGTCCCGCAACCAAATTCGCCACTCACTGTATATCTCACTTCCTCTTTCTCATTCTGCTCTCAGCAGCCACCTTTCGGTTAGAGGAGAACTATGACATCCATGAAGACTACAATGCAGATGAACGGACTGTACGATCGTGGTTAGAGCAGAATTTTCGTCCCAACAAGGCCATTATCACTCATGTGCAAGTCTGCATAGTCCTATGGATTGCAGGTACGATTCCACAACAAAAATTGCTAACTAGGCTTAAGGATTCTTATCCAAAAATTAATAGCGTGGACTTAAACCCCGATGTACTACCAGTATACCCGTGAGGTGCCAATTCCAAGTTGCAATAGATCTGAGTTAGTGACTACTTAAAAGTCATCTAATGGAGGCAAAAGCGGAAGTATCATAAATATTTATGAAGGCAATTGTTTGTGAATGGAAAAAATGCCTATTTTAATGGCTCTCTACAAAAAACCGTCTAAGTAAGGCGGATTTACACAAGAGAGAAGGGAATTAACAAATCTTAATTGCCACTATAAATCAAGTTAAGTTTCCGGTCTGATTAAGATGAACTCGTTCACTTATTCACACCTAAATCACACATACGTAAAGTTGATATTTATGAATTATTTGAGACACTAAAGTCGAATTGATGGAGGTATTCTTTGCTTTCCAAACTGTCTTTTCATAAATAAAAGCCTGTTTTCTGCTGACCGAACACCTAGCAGTGGATGTGTGTTTCAAGGTGAATGGAGGAAGTCTCCACAAATAGTTTATTCAACCTCTACCTGTTCGCGGACAAGACCTTTTTTCCTTGCAACTGAACAATTATTCCTTACAAAATTGTTATTAGTGACTCGGGCGTTTATTTTACAGCTTGCTTATTTTTTTAAAGAAAGGGTAAAAGCTGTTAGAATTGTACCCTGACTAGTAAAATATGCCAGAAAAAGAAAGGGAAGAATGCATTCTTGTGGTTTAACAACTTGTCCGTGAGGATTGTGTCATGTGCTGTTTGCATCCAACTTGATGCTTGTCGAACGATTTCTTGCTTCTCCGTAGACAATGATGGTTGGTTTTTTCGCGTTTCTAAATAAGTCCAGCACTCCCCGATCTGCTGATGAGGGAGCTCCCTTGAGACCACCACTTTTGGAAGGCGGCATTTAAATAGCGGAAAGGAAAGAATCCACTGGTGGAATGTTGCAGCAGCTAGACAGGTCAACGACAACTGAACATGAATAATAGGTCAATTTCAATAGGAATTTTTTTCTCTCTACTAGAGTCCTCGATAGCTTATACTTCTTAAGTGGTTCTTTGAGAGATCCAGCCTTCAACTAGCTTATTCCCCACGATTTACTCCTTTGTAAAATTTGCTCAAACATCTCATCCTTCTTTTCTTTAAAGCCTATAACATAAGTTTTAATTTGACTTTTCATGACATTGGTGGGTGGAGAAAAAACTTCTCTTCAATGCCATCGCCTGAAAAATCAAGATTGACGAAATTGCACCGAATTAACTGAAATAGTCTAAATTGTGGGTGGAAGACGTTAAATGAATAAATTTCACTTTTTGGATTTCTTAGAATTGTAAATAAACTCTCCCAAAAGCAGAGTTGGCTGTTTCTTTTTTTAAATACCAGCTTTGGCAGTGGGAAGTTGCATGGAGGATCACTCGAGGAGGCCATAAATGGGGACCTTAAAATACACTCACACTCCTGAAATTATCTGGCTTCTAAGTTGCAAGAGCCGAGAGTTAGTGCCCTAGTCAAAAGTGTAGCTGAATTCTCCCTTCATTTCTTTCTTCTACTCTATTATCTCCTTGAAAGGTCATTTTGTTGCGGAGATGAAGCATATCTACTACGCCGGATTGCGGAGTTATATGATGAGTGCCTACAACATCTTCATCTACTGCATCCTTGCGCTTTACATGTGCAGCTACACCCTGCGAATCATTGTATATGGATGGGTGCGTGACTCCGATGTCTTCTTTAATGCAACGAATCGCATTGAGGAGTTGATCCAGCGCAACGAGAGTCGTCTGGTCAAACCCATGGTGGAGGGATGGAAAAGCTCAACACAAACGTCAGCCAGTTACTTCATCGAGGCCTGTGAGCTTGTTTTCCCTACTTTTTTTCATGTAAAGGTACATTTTTATGAATTATAAAGGCGTACGAGTCTATAGATAGCCTGAAGAAGGCGTGGGAGATGTGCAAGGCCGCATGTCATTACGGGAGAGGAACTGGAATTGAATTATTGTAGATCGTCTCATAGATAGCCTTTTTTCTAGCATGTTTTATTTAAAAAGGCTATTTTTTGAATGTTCTCCTATCTACAGTCAACTCATCCCTTGTGCTAATTACAGGCATTAATTGCAAAACACGATGCGAGATGGCGTCTACCCGTTTCTTTCCAATTTAGTGCCTCTATTCTAGTCGCCAATCTCGTTTGTTCTTAGATGCCTACGTCATGCAGAAGTTTCAAGTCTCTGAACTTTGCCACTCACAGCATTATGCGCGGTTTGCCTATAGACAGGTCGGAAGACTTCACCCACGTATCCTGAACCTGAAATTAGGATCCCCATTAAATTTGACGCATTTTACCTGCCTCACCGATTGTAAGCCTCCACTCCTCTTTAATGTCGCTAATCACGTAAAAAGTTGCAAATCCATTCGGGCACCAGTCAAATAAAGGCGTAATCACAATCCGACCTATTGTTTGTTGAGCACGAATAAACCTCGAGGACTTCATGAATATGGAAGCAGTTTTCTTGAAAGCCCACAGAATCAGTGTATGGTGCTTTTTGTCACCTCCTTGGAAGCCGAACGGTCTTTGCAATTGAAAACTTTCAAACTTTGAGAGATTTTAATATAAAGCCTAAGTAATTAAGAGTCCATAAGTCTTTAGTAGGGTAAAAAGCCCTCTGGGCTACTGTCTGACCCAGTGGGTGGTTTGGCTAAACTAAAAGGAAAGGCTTTAAAAATATCCATCATTAAAATGCATTTTGGTTTACTTTTACCCCTCAAATTGTTTAAAATAGTGCATTTCGGATAAAGTGGGGCTAAAAAAGAAAGATCCAACCACTGAAAGGATGCACGTCTTTAAAGTTTCCTCTATAATTTCCCACACTTCAAGTCCGAAAATTAGGTTTCTTAAATTACCAAATTCATTTTGTTCACTTTTTGTCTGCTGTGGATAAAAGCCTTCCTTCCTCCCTTCCATCAGGGGTGAAGGCAACTTCGATGGAAGAGGAATCATCTAACTTTTCTATGATGACGCTTTTTACAGAAAGTCGGACCTAGGCAAGAGCGACTTCGAAAATATTCTTAAGATTAACTTCATCTACACCTACTCTACATTCCCCTGGATTAAATTACTCTCTAAAAGCTGCCAGTGAAGATTTTGACTCAAAAAATCAACCCGCTTAACTCACAGCGACTTAATGGTGTTTAAAATCGTAAACACAGCTTAGCTAAGATCACATAGGTGTCAAAGCTACCGCTAAGTCGTCAGCCGTGAATGGAAAAAGAACCTGTTTTACTTTTGTTTCTGCAATTAGGTACTTTTACCTGGATAAGAAACACTAAATTAGTGAAAAGGTGCATTTATGGAGAAAGTACATCAAGACAGAAGGAGGTGTAACACTCCAGTTTCTTTGCCCCCAACACGCCCATCGTAAAGACCACGGTG